GAAAGCAATCTACAGATTCAATATAATGCCATAAAAGTCCCAATGTCATTCCTTAGAGAATAAAAAGCCATCTTAAAATTTATATGGAAACATAAAAGACTCCAAATAGCAAAAGTAATCCTGAACAAAAGTAGCAATGCTGAAGGGACCACAATGCCAGAATTTGAATTATACTATAGAGTGATAGTAACAAAAATGGCATGGTACTGGGAATAAAAAAAGGTATGAATGTCAATGGAAGAGAATAGAGACCCAGAAATAAAGCCACACAACTCTCTGATCTTCTACAAAGGAGCCTAAAACATACACTGGAGAAAAGACAGCCTCTTCAACAAATGGTGCTGGGAAAATTGGGTATCTACATGTAGAAGACTGAAACTAGACCCCTATCTCTCAACCTGTACAAAAATCAAATTTAAATGGATCAAAGATCTCAATGTAAGATGTGAAACTTTAAAACTATTACAGGAATAAATAGTGAAAACTCCGAAAGATACAATTATTTTACGAATAGGACTCCTATTGCTAAGGAAATCAGAGGAAGAGTTGATAAATGGGACTGCCTGAAAATTACAACTCTATGCACATCAAGAAAGAAAAAAAAGTTACCAAGATCAAGAGTCTACCTATAGAATGGGAGAAAATCTTCTGCAGCAAGTCAATGGATAAGTTATTAGTATGCACAATATTCAAAGAGCTTAAAAATCTAAACAGCAAAAAAACAAATGATCAAATTAATAAGTGGGCAAAACGAATTGAACAGGTCATTCTCAGAAGAAGAAATACAAATGTCTAAGAAATATATAAAGAAATTTTCTACTTCCTCAGCCATAACAATAGACAAATCCAAACTACATTATGATACCATGCCACCTGTGTAATACTGGTAATCATGAAGAAAAAAACTCAAAAATTATGACACAGATTTGGGGGAAATGAACCCTTATACACTATATATGGGAACATGAAGTAGTACAAACACTACCAAAATCACTAGGGATGTTCCAAAAACACTAAAAGTAGATTTACCTTTTGATCCCACCATTCCACTGTTCTGCATATATTTGAAGGACAGTAAATCAATGTACAAGAAAAATACCTTCATACCCATGTTTATTGGAGCTCTCTTCACAATAGACAAACTGTGAAACCAGCTGGGGTGCCTAACAACCAATGAATGGATAGAGAAGATAGACAGATTAGATAGACGATAGATAGACAGATGATAGATAGATAGAATATACATATTTGTGTACACACAATGGAATATTACACAGCTGTGAAGAAAAATGAAATTATGACATTTTCAGGAAAATTAATGGAACTAGAAATTATCATGCTGAGTGAGATAAGCCAAGCTCAAAAGGCCAAATTCCACATGTTCTCACTCATTTGTGGAACCTAGATATAAAATGATGATGATAATTATGATGAGGATGATGAGGGAGGAGAAATAGAAGGAAAGGGGGAAGGGAAAGAGGAAAAGTAAGAAGGGGAGGGAAATGGGAAGAAGGGAAGAGGAAGGAAGAAGGAGGAGGAGGAGGAGGAAGGGTAAGGAGGAGGATGAAGAAGAAGGAAAAAGGAATAATAAGAAGAAATACTGGGACATGAAATAAAAGATGCTGCATGGGAATCAGGGAGTTAGAGTACGGCAGAAGGAAAGTATTAGTAGGAGTGAAAAGAATCAACGTAGTTCCATAAACACGTATGGAGACAGCCACAATGAAACCCAACAAACACTGTTTTGAAAAGGTTGGGAAGAATTAATCAAAATATAATACAGGGTGTGAACTAACTCAAAGTATACTACATTCATATATAGAATTGTCAAAATGAAATCCTTTCATATAATTAGTATACAATAATTAAAATAATTTAAATTAAATTTAAAAATTAAGTGCTAAAGAATAATTAATCCAATTGATAAAAGGACAAACTAATTTAACACAGTTCACAAAAGAAGAAGTAAAGTGGCCTATAAATACTTGAAAAATATGTTCAACATCCTTAGCTTTCAGAAAAATGCAAAGAAAAGTACATTCAGTTTCCATTTCACCTCAGTCAGAATGGCTAGACTCAAGAAAACAAAACACAAACAAATTTGCAAGCATGCAAGGAAAATAAACCTATACACTCTTAGTGGGAAAGTAAATTAGTCTAGACACTATGGAAGTCAGTATGGGGGTTTCAAAAAACTAAAACTAGCAGCTACACCACTCTAGAGTATATACAACAAAGGAATGAAATTCAGCATACAGTAGATATATCTGAATACCCAGGTTTATTATGGCACTGTTCACAACAGCTAACATATGGAGTCTGGATGAATCAGGACAGGTACCCAACAAAGGATGAATGGATAAATAAAATGGGTTAAGTGATTGCTTCTGGGTGGTGGTGCTATTGGGTGATGTTCTGGAAAATTTAGGAAGTAGAGACTAGCTGGAGGAAGTGGATCACTGGAGACATCCCTGGTTCTCAGTTCTTCCTCTTTTTTGGCTTCCTGTCTGCCATGAGGTGAACAGCTGATGCCACAAGATCCTAATTCCATGATGTTCTGCCTTTCTGTGGGCTAAGAATCCATACAGACAAGGACTATGAACTGAAATTCCAAAATTGTGATCCTAAAGAAATTTTTTTCTCCTTTAAATTGTTGTCATAGACATTTTAGCCACAGTGACACAAAAGTAAATAATATAGGCATGAATATGATTGACTCTGTTATATGCATTAATAAAATGTCACAATGAAACAAATTATAGTATATTATTGATATATTCTAATAGGAAATTTTTAAAAAGCAATAGTGCACTTTCTTGGGGATAAACTCTACAAAGGCTTTTGAGAGAGCAGAATGTTTCATGGCAGGCCATGAAGGTCTATAATGGAACCACACTGCTTGTATCTCATATTTCCAAGTTACTGCTGGTGAGCATGAGCAAGTAACCTTACCCTAATAAAGGCCATTTGATTGTCTGTGATTTGGGAAAACCCACAGGTGCTTGTGATGATGAAAAAGGCCCATGAGGGTCACACAATATTTGGTGGAGAATAAACACACAAAAACTATTCATATTATCATATTTAAAGGACACTGGTTTGATATGATGAACATCAGTTGGGGGCCAGGAGAATATATGAGACAAATCGACCAAGGAAGATAGGTGAGAGTAAATAATATCCATAATTGCACAAGGGACCAAATTTACTTTAAGCACCTAGATTGGAACCCACTTAACTCAAATGAATCTTGACTGTGAGGTAATTGTCTCTACCTATAACTGCTTTTTGTCCCTGCAAAGTTATTTCTGCTGCCATGAAATAACCTGGTTTCAGCCTTTAACTAGAAGCTCCCAATAGCAAAAGGTGCTCTTTAAGCTTTAAATGCAGAAATCTCATGCCCTTGGAAGTCTCCTTGTAGGACTCAGAGTCACAAGAACCAATACAAAAATATCTTTTCTCAAAATAATTTCCAATCTTTGGCCAAGGAGAACCTTCATTTGGGCCACCTGTCTAGTGGACACTGGAATGCATAGATGCAAGGGAAAAATTCTGTCTCCATCCTCTAACGCAGTACTCTATGAACACTCCACACAAGGAAACAACACAGAATCAAGTTAAGAAACGTCATCTACTATCTACAGACCACAACCTGACATTCAGACTCCTGCAACTACCTGTGAGTACAGAGAAGTATGCCCCTGTGTTAGACATGGGTCAGATTGACCAAGGGTCAAGGCAAAATATGAGGCTGACACAAGGTTTCAAGGGAAATATTAGATCAGCTTTCTATTTATAACAGGAAGGCAAATGTCAGGTGGAAACCACATGCATAATTTCCCATCTGTAGAACTCTGGTTTGAAATTCAGCAAACCTATTAGATGCCACCTGCAGTAAATCCCACATTTCACAAAACTTTCCAAGTTTCACAATAGCCTAATGGCTGCTTTGCCATTTTTTGATAACATCTTAGGCAAGAAAGACTTTTGAGTCTCAGTCTCTTCATCTATAAAGGGAAATGATTCCCTTTTGCATATCTCACAATGAAGAATCATTTATGAAAATCTAAACTCTGAAGCTCAGCATAAAGGAAAGTCAGTGTATTACTGCTGTTTGTGTAAAACTTATGAAAATAAGACTAGCACTGAAAAAAAATTACTCCCCCCTTTAGGTATGAGGCAATCAGTCATTGGATGAGGTGCAGGTTGAAGAAGTGAGAGCTTTGATCTGTGAGTTTCTGTTGTGGAGAATCTGGCCCAGCCAGCAATGCTGGGGATTGGACAAAAAGTTGCTCCATGATCCACACATTGCCATTTCCCCAAAGGTAGTCTGGTTATTATTTCTTCCATCCTCTGGATTGCTTGGCATATTCAATCCAACCACTGGCATTTGAGCTGAACTTCTACTCTATTCACATCTTCATAACATTCACTTCATTTTTTTCCCCTTTGGAGGACTTGAATATGAACTCTGTCCTTTCTTACCTCTCAGCAATGCTGAACTCAGAATAATAGAGGACACTCACCCCATAAAGAGTCTCTTCAAATTGACTGACACCTTTAGAACAAGATTACACAGAAGCTATCTCTACATACCTCTGGCAAAATTGTCTGCAAAAAATTTTAGGACTGAGTCTTGGTGGCCAATATGAGTTGAATATTTGGATCCTCTTCAAGAATATTTACTTTGGGCTGATGACAGGGTAATAGACTCCCTGCAGATTAAATAGAAAATTACAGAACTCCACCCCCCCCCAATATCTTTCATGTTGTGCTCAGTATTTTCCCATCACTGTGGTGTGCTAATCTCTCTACCTACTGGTGATTTTCTGATATGATCCAATTGACCATTATCCAAACATTTTCTTATATCCAATCTGGGACATATAATTCTAGTTTTGGCACTGTACACTATAGAGATAGAACAGTTTTCATAATATTTAGTACATATTGCCAGAGTAACTATAAGGCTCTTACAGGAACCCATGACAGCCTGAGCAATGAGAGAGTCAAATGACCTGACACTGAGGAAGAGGAGAAAAGTGAAACTGGTCTTCCATCTCCCTGATTTATCAGGTCAGCTCCTATTTAATCTTTGCCACTGATCCTTCAAAGCAGTGGATATCCATGAGCCTTAGCTGAAAAGAGAGCCTGATCCAAGTCCAAACTCCTAATGTGCTCTGTGTCTCTCTTCCCATTTGCCAATGTAATTCTGATGCACAAAGCATTTGCATTTGACCTTCCTATCTAGTGGATTAGACTGAAAAGAAGGGACTTCATGGTCACAAGCAATGGATTTATTCAACATTTCTTTCCACTGTTGGTGAATCTAGGACCCTGAGTAGCCAAGCTTGCTACAAATAACAGTCCTTCCATAAAGTAAGTTATATAAATCCCAGAAAGTCAGAGTATTTCTTAGATTCCTGGTCTTTCTCCTTTTCATCTCCTCAGCCTAATAAAGAACAGTTGTATAGGTAGGAGATTAGTTTTCCCTTCTGTCTCCATCTTAGCCTTCTTCCAAGAATCAGCTTTTCTCCTTCTTTGTCTTCAGAAGATAAGTTTCCTTATCAACTTTAGGTTATCCACCACAAGTAGCCAAATATTAGCAGAAAGGAAGGAAGAATCAGATGGGGAAGGCTGCAGGTGTGTTTGTGGAAAGAGGAACAGTCACCCTTTAACCCCTGTGACTTCCATTTGATCCTGAGAGGTGTAAAGCAGGCTCAGCACCACTGCACAGATACCTTTCAGCCACCCTGAGTGCTCTCCTGATCTTGGCCCTCTGGGAGCTGTTGGTGGGTTCCAAGTCATGTGTTTGGCCCTACCCTCCATTTCCAGGAAGTCAAGGGTTCAGTCATCTTTGCTGCCTCTCCTATCCTACCTACACCCTCATGTTCTCTTCCCCCTAGCACTCCTTACCACTTTCCTGAGCTCACCTTCTGAGTCATTCCAATCCCTATCCTTCGTGTAAGTTCAGAGAAGCTGGAAAGGGACACCAGGTAGTTGTAGTTCATAAAAAGAACAGGAATGGTTCTACCACAGCTGTACTTAACCTCAAATGTGCTTAGGGAGATTTCAAGACTATTTATGCTAGAGATTATCCCTTGAACTTTTGGTATATATCCAAGTTCCAGCATAAATATTGGGTATAAACTTTGCAGGCAATTTTAAGGTTGTCAGTATGAAGTTGTACTCGTGCAGTCCCACCCTTTACACTGCTTAAGTGCAACTGTGGGCTGTCTCTACTCTGCCCTCACTGGACAGATTGTCCTGACTAAGGGAACTAGGATGCTTCTCTCTACTCTGACCCCATTGCATTCTCTCTTCCTGTCTCCACTTAAGTTTCATTCCCTGTTGATGAAGCTGACAAGATTGTTGGAGGCTACACCTGTGAGGAGAATTCTGTCCCATACCAGGTGTCCCTACATGATGGCTACTCCTACTACTATGGCAGCTCCCTCATCAATGACCTGTGGGTAGTGTCTGCAGCTCACTGCTATGATTAGTAAGTACTGGACCCTTGAATGTAGAGTTCACTGTTCAAGCATATTGGAGGGATGGGGGGGTCAGCCCAGGCAAATCCTTAGGTAGAAGGTGGATGGGAATAATCATAATGAAGAGATGTTACTGGCAGCAGCTGACTTGAGGGAGCTGTGGGTAAAGATGGACACAGAAATGGAAGACACAACCCCAAACAACCCACAAAACAGCAAGAACTGAAGGTCATAAGCAAGGAGGGATTATTTTAATAATATAAGGAACAGTGAGGTAGACAGGCAAGGACCTTAAACAAATATTAATACCTTGGTTGTATAACAGTACAATGAACTCAAGGATTTTCAGGAAGATGTTTGAAGAGTGGTGAATTTGTAGGGTTTTCTACTTCTGTTGATGGCACTGTATAGACAGAGCTGAGAACCAATGCCTCCACCAAGGTCTCTCAGCACTGAGTGTGCATCAGTAGGGTTTCACAAACCGGAGGTTTGAAAACATAGAGTGGCCGGACACAATGCCCTAAAGTTTAGTTCAGAAGATCAGGGTGGGAAGTAAGAATGAGACTTTCTAAATAAGTTCCTAGGTTAGGCTGCTGCTGCAGGTTCCAGAGCCACACTGAAATAGTTCTAACAAAACAATAGTGTTTACCAAAACTGAAGGAAAAAATCAAAGGGCTCTGCATGTAGTTAGCAAAGCCACTACTTAGAATGAGGCAATTTTATGTTGCTCTTTTATGTCCACAGCCCAATATGCAGAATAGGACTATGGGACAACAGTTAAAAGAGTAGTCCTTAATGGTACTCCTACACCTCATACTCTCCACACAACCTACTTTTGAGACATAAAATGCCAGTTTCACACCAGCACTTACCCACCACTGCTGCACTGCTCCTTTGTTATTGCTGAGTGTACCATCCCAAAACTCTAGGTCCACTCCAGGAAGGTTGAGACCCTGGAGTGTTTTGTACAATGGAAAGAAAGCCTCAACCATACCTCCTTTTTCCAACAGCTACATCCAAGTGAGACTGGGAGAGCATAACATCAAAGTCATTGAGGGAGATGAACAGTTTATCAAAGCTGCAAAGGCCATCCGCCACCCCAGCTACAACTCAAAGACCTTGGACAATGATGTCTTGTTGATCAACCTCTCTTCACCTGCATCCCTCAACTCCCGGGTGGCTACAGTATTTCTACCCAGCTCCTGTGCACCTGCTGGCACCCAGTGCCTTATCTCTGGCTGGGGCAACACCCTCAGCTCTGGTGGTGAATGGAACCCTTCACACACACACACACACACACACACTTCCTTCTCTTGCCATGACTTCCAGAACCAAGGAGCTTAGACTTTGATCCCATTTGGTTCCAACCTGCAAATAGGTTTCAAATGCCCTCTAACACAGTGGTCTGGATTTGGCACCGGAGATGTGCAGATTCCCAAGGAATTTATCCTAAAATGGAAGCAGGACTAATAAAGAACATGCTATTAACTCCTGGAAGGAAATGGTTGTTCTGGAAAATAAAAGCCACTTTTCCTTACTGGGATTACACTTTTGGGGTCATCGCCAGTGCCTGTCCCTAGTGTTCAGGTCTTCAATGTTGTTCTCCAGCCAATTCTGACGCATATTTCATTTATTGTTTTGAGGGGCTGAATTTTTTGCTAGCATATAATAGTTGTACATAAGGATACATTGTAGCATTTACATATGTGCTTACAATATATCTTAATTAAATTCACTCCCTCCATCAGTGTCCCTTATCCCCTCTTCCCCACTTCTTAGAACAATTTCAACAGATTTCATTGTTCTATTTTCACACATGAATACAAAATACATCTGCCATATTTGCTCTCCTTCACCATTTTCTTATGCCCTCCCTTCTCCCACTGGTGCCCACCCCTACAAAAGACCTGTGTTATGTAACTTCCTGTTCTTCATTTTTTAAGTGTATATTGATAGTCCAAGGGGGTTTTGCCTTGGAATTTCAGACATGCATATGTATTATGCTTTTTTCAGGTTAACCCTCCACTCTTATACTAATTCTTTCTCTATTGCCCTGCTCCACTATCATTTAATAGCTTACAGTGGATTGTGTTATATTATTTTCATATATAGATGTAATGTTTCAATTTTCACTCTCTGACATTCTCTTTCCCTCTTCTGCCTCCTGTAGTTCCCACAGACAGACCACTAATACAATAATGCAATCATGTTCTCACTCTAGATAGATAGATAGGTAGAGATAGAGATATGCATTGTAATTTATAGATTCTACAGGTAACAAAGAACATGCAACTGCAACCTTTGACCTTGTGAGCCTGGCTTACTTGGCTTACCATAACTTTCTCCAGTTCTACCTATTTACCTTTAAGCAACATAATTTCATTCTTCTTTATGACTGAGTTATACTACATTTACTTAATCCATTGTTGATCATTTTTTGCCTCTTACAGTTAAAATTCCAGACCTGTTGCAGTGTCTGGAAGCCCCACGGCTAAGTCAAGCCTACTGTGAAGTCTCCTACCCTGGGAAAGTCACCAGCAACATGGTCTGTGCTGGCTTCCTTGAGGGAGGCAAGGATTCCTGCCAGGTGATTTAAGCCCTTCATTTACCAAAAGCCTGCCCATACTGAGGCATCAACTGAGAGTAGCATTAAATGTCCACAGTGGTGAGGCTGGGAGCTCCATGCAGTGGGAGCATGGAGGAAGGTTCATATGACTGTTTCATTTTCTTTGTGAGACCAGAGAATGACCCACCATGAGAACGACATGGTTCCAAAAGGCTGACTAGAATAGGGCCTTAAGCTCATAGTAGGAGTACTACATTACCTTAACCTTAATCTACTCTTTATATCATCTGTCCTTCCGCACCCCAGGATGACTCCAGTGGCCCTGTAGTCTGCAATGGAGAGCTCCAGGGAATTGTCTCCTGGAGCTATGGCTGTGCCCTGAAAGACAATCCTGGAATATACACCAAAGTGTGCAGGTATTTGGATTGGATTCAAGACACCATTGCTGCCAACTGAAGGCCTCCAGTCCCTCTGAAGACACTATGCTAATAAAGTTAATCTGTCCTCACTACCTATGTCTGTGCCTTCTCTGTTCACCTCCTCGCTTTGGGAAACATCTCAAGTCTGAGGCCAGAAAGAACCCTCCTTTGAGAGATGAGCAGAGTCTCTTAGTTCCCAAAATATGTTCCATTGAATAATTGATAAGCAGTATGTGAAGAGATAAAGTACAAAAGTATTAAAAGGAAAAAAATTTCAGAAAGGTGTTATTACAGAATTTCTTGGCTTTTTAAAGTGGGTCATAAAGTTGCTAATGTGTGCCCATGTTGGTGTGGTTGGCATCTTTGAATATGATGGGAATCCCTGTGTCTCCAGAGCAAACACAAAGCAGAACTTCAGCATTGACTGCCTTGACTTCATATGAGTTCCCTCACATGCTTGTTCTTGCTAGACCAGTTGTTCAACCTCTTAGCAGCAGGTGTTCTACTTATAAAAGGTCTTACTCCACATTTCCCAACCACCTGCTTATATGTCTGGAGGAAAGATAACGGTACCCAAGGTCTCTATCTCCCTGTAACTTTAGAAATTTGCCTTTTGCCATATTCCAAAATAGTACCAATATGGATGTCCCTTCCTGAAACCAAACAGAAAAAGTAATAGTGAAAAGCAGGAAAGGAAATTTGATCAGCATAGCTACATGAGGAAAGCATCAGTGCACAATTCTAGGAAGGCCTACTAAGAAAACTGGGCTCTCCACACCACCAAAGGCTTTCTGAAGTCTAGACCAGAGACTTAAAATTAAATCTCTAATTACATTTTTTATATACTGCTTACTGTTTCCCTATGCACTGATCCACAAAGATAGGATGGAAGTTAGACCTGGGGTTTTACTCCCAGCTATGGAGAAGACCCAATAATTATAGACATTTTTCACATTTAGTTCACTCTCTCTTCTGAGTTGGCTCTAATTAGAGCAGAACAGATAGAAAGTAGAGGTAGAGACAGTATCAGCTTACCCACATCCCATACCAAGCAAATGAGGATAGCTTCCTCATTTGCAGGTGTGCTCACTAAGTAGCCTCCAATGTTCTGCTACAAATATGGTTAGAGATGATGATGTTGTATAACAAAATTGTCTTCTTACAAGCTGTAAAGAAGAATGGTTAAGAACTTGGTCTCTGTGACCAGACAGTACACATTTAAAACTTGGATTTGCTTCTTTATCACTAAGTATAACATGGAATAAGCTGCCCAATCTTTGTACACCTTCATTTCCCACATATAAAAATGTGAATAATATGAGATTTTACATAATGATTTAATATGAAAATGTAGTGACATTACCCATAGAAATGCATAACATGAAGTTAGGACCTAAATTTATTTCACAGTTCAATATCCGTCAATTTACCACCACCAATACCTTATTCAAGGTTAAGCATTACCTTACCTTAGTAAATTTTGTTTTATTAAAGGCGGTTTTCTTTTTTGGTATTTAAATTGCATATTTATTATAAATATATATTATTAAAATAAGGAAATATAAATTCTTCTGTTGCAGTAAAGTTAGAATGTATGATATATTTTAATTTATAGTATATTTAGCCCAAAATATTTCATAAGCAGCTTTTCATGTCCACTATGTTTACATTAACTTTCACAAGACCATTTCAATGTACTGATGATCATCCTTCATGTCATCAGTTTTTACAATCAAAACTAACAGCAAGGTAAAAGCACATGCTGGAACACAGGTTTATCCAATTTAAAAATCAATTGGTTTTGTGTGTTGAATTATTTTTCTTATGGACTCAAAACACAATAATGAAAGACCACTTCTCATTTAAATACCCATAGAATATCATCAATCCAAAGAGAGCTTGCCTGACCACTGTACTTACACTAAATACCATATTACCGCTTTACCCTGTTTTAATAATGTCAGATCAATATTTGCTGAACTAAAGTATATATGTTACAGGTATAGCTATAGTCTTTAATTTCATGCCTTGCATCTATATTGCACACAAATGCCAGGAATGGAAGGATTTCTTCTATTTTCTTTAAAGTTGTTTCTCACAGCTGAGATCTTTGAATTTCACTGGAATCCTATCAATATTTACTGAGAAAATAGACACCTGTTTAAGAAGAGATGTTTTGAGAGAGAACCCAAGATGATGGATTAGAAGCAATTGTGAATACTATCTTCCCCTGGTGATGGAATCAAAGCTGCAGGCAAGCAGGGAGCTTCCCCATGGGTGATATGGGAAGGCAGTGAAGTTTAGTTGTAATCAGACAGTTAAAAAAAAAACCTCAGAGGTTTTGAGAGCCCAACAGAAAGAGTGCTCTAGCACTGCTAGCCTAAAAATGACTGGCAGCTGGGCAAAGATGGAGACGGGGTGGAGGGTGGGGAGATAGACACAACAATGAAAGAGGGAGAAACTCAGATAAACACAATTAGCCACAATGCCAGGCAAAAGTGCAGCCTAAACAGGGGAGCTGGAATATGTTTAGTAAACTGGCACTGAGAAAGTTCACTCTTCTTCCCAACTTGTAATCATGTTGTACAGTCAGGAAATGATCCTTAAAAGGTCTTTTATGAGCTTATTGCTTTGGGAGTCAAGATCCCTGCATTCCTCTGCCTCCAGACATGGTAGCAAAATTCACATGTGATACAACGAATGTTGTCTTACAGAACAATTACATGAAAAAACTGAATTAAAAACCATGAGAGCTCCATGCAGTGGGAAACCAGGCTGAGTCACAAAAGAGTTCAAAGTTCCCTGCCATACAGGACCATCAATATGGACAGCTACCTATGGGAGCTCCAGCAGCTATGAAAAGAGACATGGAAAGACACTACATCCTGGACTATGTTTCAGAACGACAGACTGTGGGTGTAACAGGACCCAAGGGAATTGCTCCACCCCTTCAGTAAGGATGGTTTCAACCTAATAGTTTCCATTACCCCAAAATACAGCTAACATCATGGAAGGTGACAGAGACTGTCAGCAAAGCAACAAGCATACATATTCCCATACGCATACACGGAGAAAAGAAATCCAGAACAAATGACTGATGATAGAAATCTTGGTATGCCAGCTGGTTCTAGAAGCATGCTAGCTGATAGGGATTTCAACTGACTCTGCCACAAACCAATCCCATTGTTCACTAGGAGAGCAACACAAAGAAAAGAAGAAAGCTTTACCCCACAGCCTATACTCTCTCCAAAGGACCCTTGCCTTTCTAGAAATATAGAAGATTGAATTAATATTTCTCTTGGCAATGTGACAGAGCCTTACCTTGCCTGGACTCCTAACCCTTCTGGTCTCCTTCCTCTTAAGATAACAGGAATAACTTTAATGGCAGAGAAGAAACTTGTACATAGAGAATATCACCTCACACTCATTTGAATCCAGCACAATTTCTCTTTATCCAATAAGAGATTACTTTCTTAGTTGGGCACCAATGGTTCACATTTATATTCCCAGCTACTTAAGAGGCAGAGATCAGGAGAATGGCACTTTGAAACCAGCCAAGGGCAAATAGTTCAAGAGACTCTATCTCAAGAAAACCTCTCACACAAAGTGGTTGGCAGAGTGGCTCAAGTGGTAGTTTCTGTTGAGCAAGCATGAGGCCCTGAGTTCAAATCCAGTGCCATCAAGAAATTACTTTCTTTAACATCTCATTCTTAGAATCATTGCATCTGGATGATAAATGATATGTTTTGTGTGATCCAGAAAAATCTGAAGAGTGGGACTGAGATCTAGAAGCCTAGACTAACTGGTCATGGATGATAAGCTTTTTGGAGTAGACTCCCCACTTCTTTCTGAGTTCTGCTCAACACGTATAAGACATAGAAAGGCATGCAAATTTTATGCTACAGGGAGTTTCATTAGCTTATTTTTTTTTATTCTCATTCTTCACACACCAAAGAGTGGTGAATGGAAAAATATTAGCAAACTGAGTCTTTAAAATTATTAAAGAACAATTGAATTTCTAATGTAAAATGATGCAATAGAACTTTCTTCCATGTGGAACAAAATCAGGAAAATTATCCAATTCACAATAATAACCTTCAAAAATAAAATATCTGTGAATAAATTTAACGAAGAAGGTGAAAGAACTATGTAGGTAAGACCATAAAACTCTGAAAAAACAAATTCTAGAAGCCACAAAACTATGCAGTGTTCCCCCATGTTCATAGATCAGCCAAATCAATATTGTGAAAATTGTCTACAGATTCAATGAAATCTCCAAACATTCAATGTTAGTCTTTAATAGAATAGAAAAAATTAAAATTCATACCAAATAAAATAAGACTCCAAATAGTCAAAGCAATCTGATCAACTAAAGTAATATGGAAGCATCACAATACCTGATTATACTCCAGACCATAATAACAAAATCATCTAATAAAAACAGACACATAGACAAATGGAATAAAATAGAGGAGTTGGAAATAAATCCATTCAGTGACAGCCATCTGATTCTTGGTGGTTTCAAAAAATACCAATTTGAAGACTCGATTCCAAGATGGCGGCTAGAGGGAGGAAGCAGAAAGCGAGCCTCCTAAAGGGAAATCTTGGAGAGATGCTGGAGACACACTTTGCAGGCAAAATCACTGAGAAGAGGCAAAACTTTGACCCCTCAACACCTCCAGCCGGCACAGAGAATCCCCACTTCACATTAAACAGAGAAACAAGAGGAGGGCACCCGGCCGCTAGTTACCAACGCCCAGACAACTTGGGAAGACGTGGACAAGGTGAGCTTCGCGGTACCACGGTACTCCCACAGACAAGCCTGGGCCAGAGCAGCATAGCCCCTGGACAGACTGACGCCCACCCAGGGAAAAAAGAGAAACTGAATAATAAGCAATAAGAACAATAAAGACACATGGGAAAGAGGGTGGGGCGCACTGAGCACTGAAGATTGCGGGAAGGGAATCCTTCCTGGGACTGTAAATAAACAAGCCAGGCAGGCCGGAGAGGCTCTGGCGGGAGTGGGAGCGTGCACCC